ATGTAAATGTACATTAGCACAGTGCAATATAATGCAATATAATATAATATAATATGACACGATATCTGTATAATAACGTCGAAGCTTATAAAGCGAAAGTAGAACTAAAAATAGTGTAGATAGACATCGTTTCGCATTTATTGTAAACGTTAGTTTCGTACTTAGTTCGACCCATATATTTTAATACTAATATATTGTATTTTAGGTTTACATACTGGACATGTAAAACCAATGAACCCAAATCTTGTGCTCGTTATAACTGAGGAGTGAACGACTTTACATTGATGCAACGTCAGATTTTACCGCCAATTTTACGAGTTTTTATGTATTACTTGGGCCGAACTTGCCATGGTTTCATTGGCCGAAACTGTCCGGGCCCAAATTGATATATCAATAAATTCTTATCGTATAGCAATATGGTACTGAGTACTTGGCTTGGCTTTTATGTATATCAGTTGAAGCTGTGTTACACGTTTGACCGTAAAAAAATATCAAGTCCGTTTACAGAAAGTTCGCACAACTAGAATTCAGAGAAATTTTGAATTTTCTTTGTAAAGAATTATACTACCACGTGTCAGTATAATTCTTTACAAAGAAAATTCAAAATTTCTCTGATTAAAATAGACATAAGTTCTTAATTATAATATGTTTTACAATACCATTTTGAAACAGACTATAACCAAATTGTGATCAGGTGTGAATTGAAACGGTACGTGTGGCGCAGAAATTTTCCACCATAAACGAACGCACTTGGACCGTTCTATAAGCAGAGCTAAAAATGCACAGTTTCGGAGATTAAAAAACAGTCCGTCCACTAAATTACATAACGTATCTTAAAAACTACATGTGGCTTGACATTGTTTAAGAAAGAAATAACACAAATTGGCAATAGTCAGCATTTTAGTTTAGGTCAGGTACGTCTAGACCCCTCAATCTACACGTACCAAATTTTCCTGATGTCAGCCTCGGTCCAAATCTCTACCTGTCGTTTTCTTTACAGGTTCAACCGGTTCAACCGTTTCAACCGGATACGCGAATGTACATGTAGCCCAAGTATTTTAGAAATGTATGCTAGGTGAGACTAAACCCAGAGAACGATAGCGAGCGTAACTCCTGGAAGATACCCCGTACTAGGTGCTTAGCGACCGCCAAAGCGAATGATGTCCTGGGTTCTGTCCCCTGACGTTCGGCTTTGAATGGGATACGATAGGGACAGGTAAGCTCGTCCTTAGTACACATGTACCGGATGTTCCATTGCGTTAGCGTGTACAGTGACATTTCACCGTCTTCATGCGGACTTATTTATAGGTAATACTCAACCACACAAACAAGCAAATAAACCACTACCCCAAAAAATATTCTAGTTTCAGCAACCGCACAAATGCTCTACAGGTAGTTTCAGCAACCGCACAAATGGGCTTTATTTCCAACTGTCCCAAAAATGCTAAAATTCTCGGTACCCAACAAAATCTAATGTCTCAGCTATCCCATACATTGTTTATAAATGTAGTTCCTGCTACCCGACCATGAATTATGTTAGTCCATACTATCTCACAAGTTCGTTAGTTCTAATCTTACTCAGCACGTGATTCATTTACAGTTACATATTATTTCCAGATCTCACACAAATGAGTTGATTTCAGAGACAATGTACATCACAAATACGTTCGTTCCCCTACCAAGTCAATAACCTAGTTCCTGCTACCCAATAACTGTGTATCCATGTTACACCAACTATTCTGTAACACCAGATACCAACAAATCCATTAGTTCCAACTACCCCACACATTGCGATCTCACATATATTTTAGTTCCAAAATACCCAGCGACTTCTTTAGTTCCAGCTATCCTTTAACTATGTATTTAAGTTTAAGTGAGATTGAAGATTTACCTTACCCCACAAATTATCTGGTTTTATCTACCCCACATATTCTATCTAGCCCTCTACTTATTAACGCGTGTAGGTTATTTCTCGAACTACGCCTGTAGGTTTCATACCGGGACACTTAATGCACTAGCATGTGCTTTGTTAATACTGATACTAACTATCTGAGGAATTACTAAAAAAAATACATTATAAAATGGAGCATATCAAGAGAGGCTGAATCATTCAGTAGAATAAAATAGTGGGTCAGTCAGTATGACATACAGAGAAACTAGCCTAATTAAGCAATAAAACCATTTCTAATCAAATAGGCGGTTCTTGAAGTCAGGTGACGCTACAATAAGGTGCCGATAAGATAGAATGTCGGGAAAATCAGTTGTCTATAAAAGCAGGTGTCGATAAACTCAATTATTTGTAAACTATGGTGTCGGTAACCACGTATGTCGGTAAACTCAGGTTTCACTGTACTAGCACGCACGCTAATTATTCCATATCATTAACTCTCATAGATTCATATTGTTATAGAGGAAAATATTTCGTGTGTAGATACATGTATCTTTGTTGAAAGGAGGGGACGCCCAAACACTTGAGTCATGATGAAGAGTGTGTTTTCTCACGAACAGGATACTGATGATGTGATGGGGACACATGGCCTCATAAGCTCATAAGTATGTAAGCTTTGAAGTATTGTATAGATATCAGTACTTAAGGAATGATTTTTATTTTTTCAACATTTATGAGGTCATAACAACAATGGGTTTTTGGAAATATTTTACATGAATCGCTAACGCGATTCATTCAATATGTCCATAAACCCATTGTTGTTATGGCCTCATAAATGTTGAAAAAATAAATATAATTCCTTATATTTTCATTGACTAATCCTTTGAGTGGATCGATATAACAACGAATAAAACAAATAAACAGGGTTTGTTCCTGCTTATACAAGGGTGCAAGGCAGTGGCGAGAACAGTGTTTTTTCGCGGGGAAATGTGACACTATCGTGAGAGATCTTAGCAACCGTCAACAACAATAACACAACAAAATGTAGTTCTATATTCAATGTTTATTTGTAGCACAGGCCACGTGAATACGTGGATATTTCACAAAACACAGTTCAATAATATGTTAAGATGTAAGAATTAAGCATCTAGGTCGGTCGTTCCGAGTGAGTAGTTTTTGTAGTGTATTACTACGCAGTGTGATCAGGTTACTATCAGTTCCCACGTGCTGAGATTCTATGAACACCTGTGTTATGCATTTATGAATGTAATTTTTGTCAATGGGTCTAAGCATACAGAATGTAAATATAAGTATATAGTAACATTTATTGACAAGCTGAATTTCACAAGACAGTGAAAATATGTATTTAATTATCATGATTTGTTTAATTGAAAATGGAACTCTAAAAATGAAACAAGTGTTAAAAATAAAAAGACTTTTCAAAATCGACTTATTATCAATGGTTAATCTTAACGTAGAGTTGGAAATGAAAGACCGACGCCAGAGAATGTAGGGTAGAAACTGATCGCGTGTTAGTTCAACATAAGATATCTGTATATACATAGCTCGAGGCTATCAGAAGTTCAATTAAATTGGTTGATTGATTGGTTGATTGATTGATGGGTCTTTACGTCCTTGTTCCGGTTATAACCAAGCCTAGGACAAATGTTTAATTAAATAAGACTAAGAAACTATTTAAAGAAAACTTTAAAAAACTATGTCACATGTTTAACAACTCCCCAATAAGTGATTCCTTGTAAAATTGCTGGAATTCGCTGTAACTCTGGACCCTGGGCAGTGGTATGGAAGCTAAGAAATAATATATCATACAAGATTTCTTTATATTATCCTATTCAAGGTATACAGAGTTAATTCCCTTTTATCATGAGACGAACGAACGCCGTTTTTAATACACAAGAGTGTACGAGTTGTCTACCCTTGAACGATTCCGTGAACAGCAACTACATCATGTAATGAAAAATGTTAGTGACATTTATACGTTTACAGAAGTTCCATACAGTATCTGTAGTGGATCAGATAGATAGCACCGACTGTATCCACGATCCGTTCATAAATAGAACAATCGCTGATCCAGTCAAGTCAACCACTGCTTAGGACGTGAGGCAAAGTTCGAAATCAAAATAATTCTATACAAAATTTCAGCATTTCATCTGTGAAAGAAAGAAAACAATTTTTAAATCACTCCATAGTATCAAAGATTTTTAACTAATTTGATATCTAATATTTGTGAAACAGTTATGTGATGTGTGAACCAGTTCTCCAAAAGACACTAGCTACCCAACTTTCTCTTATGCGGAGGAGAAGAACTGTGTTTCTCCTATATTAAATTATGTATTATAATTGGATGTGCAGGTATGGGGTGGGGATATATAATTTGGCCCAACCACTCTTGTATATCTCTTACCCTGTTGGGGTACATGGTATTATATATATGTCGGTAGGGATAGGCCCAACCACTTTTGTATATCTCTTACCCTGTTGGGGTACATGGTATTATATATATGCCAATTATAGTACTGCTACAAGGCCTCCTATATAACCTTTCTACACTTTTTTTTTAATTGTGATTCACTTGGCACACATTTCACTTCTTTCTACCATATATCTTTTAAATTGAATACATTCGTGGGTCGATAAGTAGTAAAACAATGAGTAGCCGTCGGTGGTTAGGAATTTACAAATCTTGTCCCCAGTCAACACAATGTTCATGACGTCATAGTGTGTTATGTAACTATGGAGTTATTATGACGTCATTGGAAGTTATTTAACCTTTTCAGTGCCAGGGGGCCGATGGGGCCGATTACATAGGTCTCAGAGTGCCAGGGGGCCGATGGGGCCGATTACATAGGTCTCAGAGTGCCAGGGGGCCGATGGGACCGATTACAAAGGTCTCAGAGTGCCAGGGGGCCGATGGGGCCGATTCTATTTAAATAGAGTTTGTTGTTTATGCCACCTCATCTTGATTGCCATACAAAATTATGACGTTGGGTTACATGACGTCTATCAACGCGAAAAATGATGATGTAAAAGGTACGTAATTTTGACGTTATCTTTAGTCAAAGTGACGTCATTATTGTTTGGAAAGCACCTGTAGTAATGGCCGTTCCATGGATGCGGATGTTTCCACCTGAACCCGACAGGGGTCCTGGCTTTTACGAAGCTCCTAGGCCTCTTCATATGCCACCCAGGGATTCTCGGCCATTTTCATATTTCATGATTCTTTTTCCCGAGACACTGATGAAGGAAATAATTCGGCACACCAACAGGTAAAAGTTTACATAAACTATTCCTTCTTCATAAATCATGAAATAATTTTAGTTCAGGTACCCAATTCTGTTTTAAAAACAGTGGTCGCACAGGTCTTGAAAATGACTGAAAGCCTTTCTTGTTTAAAATATTCTTTTAATTTTATATTTTACATTTTATCATTTATCAACAGTTTCGTTATTACCAGATACATGTGTATGACCCCTGAAAAAACTATCGGTATATCTGTTTTATTGAAAAGTATTGCATGATGTTGTCTTCCCTGGATGTTAGGTGTTAGACAAGTTAGTGAAGTATCTTTGACATTTTAGGTATGCACACCACCATCTGCAGACAAACCAGAACAATTTGGGACAAAATGCAAGGGCGCGTTCTTGGAAAAAAATTATCTTGTCGGAATTGAAAGCATTTCTTTCAATATTTTACAACATGTCAATTGTAAGAAAGCCTTCAATTCCCGAATACTGGAATTCAAGACTACCAAGTCAACGTTCATCTTGGTTTCCACACACGATGGCTAGAAACAGATTTCAAAATATTTTGAAATTCCTACATATCGCAGATTTCCGGCGCATGGTTGGAAGAGAGGTTAGAACAGTGTCGTCTAGGTAAATTATAGACTATGCATTGGTACACATTGTAATCTGTTTTATACAAATAATGTTTATTCAATGTGAGTAGGTCCGCGTGCGTATGTGTGCGCTTTCAGTGCAGCACAGTACTTATAACACATGTATACCCTACTCTCTTAATTGAAGAAGTCATGCGCTTACTGTACATGTAAAGTATAACTAGAATAAAATGCCCTTCATGCGCTCCTCTTTGAACAAAATAGTCACACTATCATACCATCTCGGCATACAAAATTAATTGATATATCTTGATAAAACTTGTTTCTTCATTTCTAGAACGCACAGCAGATTTATATTCAATTTTTAATATCATCACATTCTATACTCTAAAATAAAATGCAATGAACAGCGTAACAAAACAGATGGATGCGCAGTGTGTACACTACTAGTTTGTTTCACCCACTGTCTAATGATATTCCTGAAAAGTATTGGGCGGGAAGTTTAACGGATATGGCGCATGTCGGGTTGATAAGACGCGTGCCGGGTAAATATAGCGCATGTCGGGTCGATAAGGCGCGTAACGGATAAGTATGGCGCATGCCGGGCGGATATGGCGCATACCGGTCGAACATGGTCAGTCCGCGATATCGACTATGCACAGTCAATAAGCAGTATCACACATGCAAAACATCCCATATCACGGACGAGTTTATGATAATTAAATTGATTATATTATTATCCGTGTCACTGTCATTGAGATATCACTTTTCATCTAACAAGTTAGCATACATGTTATACTTTGACGTCATTCACATGGACACAATTTTAAATTTTGACGAAAAAAATGTATTTGGTCATTCATCGCTGTAAGAATTATAAGCAACAGATAAATATACAAATATTACCGATAGAAGCGCTAGATAAAATGACGTAACGTCACGTCGCTGTAGAAATACATCCTGTTGTTGTCAATATTAACGAAAACAACGTCTCTCGAGTAAAAGATATTCAGAGAGATTTACTGGTTTTTATTTTATTTTTTTAATTAAGCATCCTGCCTACGACCCTGCCGCCATATTTCGTCCTCTACTTAACTTCGTCAACAGGCAGTTCCTGCGCTTCATCATACCGAGGAGGGAAATGTGTGTTGATGAATCCCTGGTGAGAACAAAAGGCCATAGTGTGATGCGTGAGTACATTCCCTCCAAGGCCGCGAAGTACGGAATTAAGTTTTGGATACTCTGTGAGTCAGCGTTCAAATGTCCATATACAGAGGCCGATAATTCGACCCAACTCCGCGGGGGGAGCTACAGGGCAGTAACGTTGTATACAACCTACTGAGCGAGGCGTCCTTGCTTGGCCGTGGTTACCACGTGTTTGCTGACAGTTTCTTCACTTCGATGCATCTTGGAAGAATGCTGCTGCAGCACCATACCTATGTGACGGGTAAGGGTCAATATGTATATCCAGTGATAGTGCTCTATATATCTCACTTAGTTTTGAACTTTGAAAAATAATTAAAACGACTAAGGTTTTATACTCTTTGAACCCACGCACTTCCTGTAACACGAGGAGCGGGTTTTTTGGGGGGTTTTCGGAGCTTCTTTGCGATTTACAAGCATAAAAAAAATTGATAGTGTTACGTTATCGGCAAGCAGACAACAAATGAGAGCTTTATCTCCGAGTTGACACTTTTTAGTATTTCCTTTGCAAGTAAGGTTTGACAAAATCAACTTAAGGTTTTTCTTTTCTGCTATATTAAGAATATTTATATTTCATTTATTGAAGGTACGCTATGGAAAAACAGACCGATGCCCCTGACTATACGGAATGCGGATCCGCAGCCAGGGGCCGCTGTATACATGAGACAGGGCAACTTCCTGTGTCTGGCAGCTCGTGATGTAGAGGGCAAAAAGCCGGTGCGGCTCTTATCTACTCTCCTGCCAGCGCATGACCTTGGATGTGGGCGTCCTAGAATTGTCAATGCGTATAACCATAATATGGGTGCCATTGACATGAATGATGGGTTATTGAGTGCATATGGTGTCCAGCGCAAAACCAAGAAAGTCTGGAAAAAAGTGCTTCTACACATTTTCCACAGAATTATGCAAAATGCATACATACTCTACAGAGAGAACACAACTGATCGCCCCGTACTGACTCGACTTAATTTCATCATGCAGGTCGCAGAGTCCTTATCGGGATGCAATGTCCCGGGCATGCCAAGGCGCGCACGTCGAAGAGTCCAGAACCTAAAAGTACTACCGCGTGGAAAAGAAAAAGATTGTTGCGTGTGTTCATCCAATGTGCGGCATGGCAGAGGTGTGCGCCACAGGAGCAGAACAATTTGATCCATATGTAAAAGAGGCCTCCATAGGCACTGCCTCGAAAGGCACAACGCATGCGCAGAACTTTAGCAAGACAATCTGGAAATAAATTTATGCTGAGCAATTTATGAAATATTGTTTTACTTATGGCACGTTTAAATTCTGTTTAGTTTATCGTTTTTTTATATATTGATTTATCTGTATTTTTGTCACTGTTTATGCTAGAATGTTAGTACATGTACACTAGTTTATATAACTCTCTAACCATGACAGGAGATCAATATGGTTGGGTAACTTGTCAAAATACATTATGTATAAAGAGTATCTATTCAATACATCGTTGTTCATGATGTCATTATTGCGAATGCGTCACATTATGTTTGTTAGAAGATTACGTCGTGAACGTAACATCCAAATGCTTGACACTCTAAAGAATAAAAAAAAATACGATGTTCCGTTTACATATTATACTCATGAATCAAAACTGCACGGAAATAAACTCAAATAATTATAACGCCGTAAAATTGCTGACGTTATAAAGGTTATGTTTGTTTGCGCAACAACAATCATGCGATTTTCGCGACGTCGAAATTAACATAGCGTCAACAATACTTTGACGTCATAATTGGCTGGACGTCACAGTTGGAAAAACAGTTGTGGATACTTCGAATTGGCTGAGTCAAATGTTTGGCAGCCTAAAGGTTAAGGTTTGAAATGCATCTTAGCGCATCATGGAATATGTTTGAACATAATTGTGTTGCATACCCTCATACATGTTAAAAAGATGCATTTCAAACTTATATTTACGTTCTATTACATCCACTTTTATTATTTCGAATTAAAAAAAAAGAGTATTTTTTCACGTTAAAAAGCAAAACACCGTCATGAAAACAACAAGATGCGTTGTCAACGATGACGAAATACACAGTTGAGCAATAAACAAATAGTTCCACTTTACATATTGTTTAATAATTTTAATTCATAATATCTGCATGTTTAACAAGCATTGATTATCTTAAAAATTGACAGTATATCTTGATTTAAAACAAAAATACACTGTAAAATATTTTAGTTGCAAAACGTCAGAAATTTATTCCGTATTGGCGGAGAAAGCTGACCGTTAAAAGACGGTTGTGCAGCGGCTACGCTCATGCCACGAAGCGGTTGGACTTTCAACGAGATAGAAAATGCATTCGTGAAATGTGGAGTTTCCTAAGAAACCAGATGACAATTTAAAAGATGCTGTTGGCTGAATTCTTGTGTCGATCGACTGTGTCATTCGGCGTGTGTTACTGTCGATGAGGGGACAGAGGTCGTGTAACGGTACATGTAGGACTGTTAATACTGTTATCTAGAGGCACTGCGACACAAATGTAAAT